ATACAAGTGTAACATTCAACATGGTGCAAAAGATGAAGTAATGCAAGCCATAGACGGGTCGTTTATCAGCCGATTTTTTGTCCGCCGCACGAAAAATCGGCCGATATTCACGCCGTCAGTGGGGCCCGCCCGTCGGCCGTTTTTTCGTGGATCTTCTCGTTTACTGTTATCGGTCATGCTGGAAACTCCACGAAAAGCGTCTATTTTTCGTGGATGATGGTGGCAGCATCGGCAACGGCACCAACCAATTTTTTCATTTGTCGGCCGACAAACGGCCCGTCTATGGCCAGCCTTAGCTTTTAAACAAATGTTTATATACAGTATTTATATAGATATGCTGTATATTGTATATCTTACCATTTTCTAACAATTCTTTCTAGAAGATATAAAAAGGGTTGTGGCTGTTTGTGGAGCAGGCTTTGTTAAGGAAAGGGTTCATTTACATTGAAGAATCCTTTTTTATACATTTTTCTGTTTACTCACATGCACTAGTATTTTTATGTTGTGCTCGGATTTCTCTTTTCTTTAGATGAGCAGAGAGGTTACAGGGTTTAGAGCTCACCTGTTGGACAGATATATGAACAATGGTAACTGATTTCAGGGCTGCAGTGCAGGTACCTAGTGGTGCCTACACATACTCATGTTCTATCAATCTGAAGATCCTAAGGCACTCTCTAGTATGAAAATTTGAACACTTTCTAAGCTGACTGGCCCCATTCAACATCTTCCTATTGGCTAATACATTATCAGACCATAGTGTTGGCCCACTAACAAAGTGCAGGAGGAAGGAGGGGGCAAGTCATTCCTGACACTGTTAGGAACACTACAATTTGATTATTAAGTGTTCTGGGTCTTTAACAAGTAATCTAAGGTCTGAACAGGCACACCAAAGTAAGTGCATCGTAGTGTAACAGTCTATATTTCTGACGTGTGTGCTTTGTACTGCTGTGTACTAAACTTGGGCTAGCCATACAGCCAGCTGTGTCTTTGTATTGTGAGAGTGAGACTCCTCTACCGGCAGAATACACTGATCAGTACTGCACCTCATTGGATGCATGTGCTGACTGAATGCTGGTTTTCCAGCGGGACTGTTTAACAGACGCTGGTCTAACAATTGGCTTCTATTGAAGAAAACACATGCTAGCTGGAAATTGACCAAAACCTTCTTTGACTTCCTGTAGAAAACTGAATACGGAACGTTGTATCTAAGTACTTTTACCCCAATTTGATGTGTTTTTTTTTTTTACAGAAATGTATGTGTCTTCACATGCATCTAGATTATTTACAGCGACAATACACTCTGTTGTAAAAATTAAAGAAAATCTACTCCTGTATGTATTCTTATCTCAAAGGTCTCTTCTATTGCTCTCTGCCTCCTCCAAATTCCCTATTTTTGCTGTTATGATCTGAATTCCTATTAGAGGGTGGCTACATTCATTCTGCATGGTCCCACCGTATGTAGGAACATAGCCACCTTCTCTTGCTCGCCTCCAAGATGGACTGTAGACTATGGGTTGTGTGCATAGTGCAGTGTACATGACTGAAACCAACATGCACTGCTCGTTTCAGACAAATGGTAGTGTGAGGGAAAGAAGAAAGGTTCAGCTTGTAGTTCTAAATGAACTACCAAGGCACTATTAAGCGCTGTGGTAGTTCATTCATTCTTCCTGTCAGAGAGAAACTGCCTGTCTGTATGATGTACGGGCAGACAACTCACACTGACAGTCTGCAGGAGTCCTGCATGCCACCATACTGATTGCTGGTGCAATGCTTTCCAGGCTCCCCCAAAAAAATAATAGTGAAAAAATGTGCATTTATTTTTAGTGTTTCTAAAAGCTCAAGGTGTGAAGCAGCCCCCCCCCCCCCCCCCTCATACTTACCCCAATACTTACCTGAGCCCCATCGCAATCCAGCAATGTGCAAAAGAGCTCTCAGGGACTCTCCCTCCTCGCCGTTGGCTCCCGCTGCTATCAGTCACAGCCAGTGAGCCAATGAGGAAAGAGAAGGGGCAGGGCCGAGCCATAGCTCTGTGTGTGAATGGCACTACAATAGCAGTTGTGTGCCACAGAGCTGTTTTAAATCTTTGTCCTAGCATGTGTTTGGGACGGAATCACTAGCTGTCTGTGATAGGCAGAGTTCAGGTCCATATATCTAAAACAAATCAGCCCCCTGTTGTAGTCTGAAAAATAGAAAGTCTCCAGCACTCCAGAATATAGATTTTTACAGTTCATTGTGAACACATAGGGGTCTAGTTATATAACATGCAATACATAAATGTCAGAATCATTCTTGCACACTGCACGCCTGTTATCTTCAATCTTCAGCTTCATCTGGTGGCCAAAATGCAGAATCATGTTACATGTTACACACATATTCTTTTCTCCCCACTAGCTGTCTCAATTTAAAGAAAATGAGTTCTGTGAATGGGAAAACTAAAGTCCCTTTGCGGCTGTCATCTTGCAATTCTCAATGAACTACCACTCCGCTGTTGAGCGCTGTGTTAGTTCATTATTTCTTTATTTTCAATGTAAAACTGTCTGCTTGTACGAGGTATGAACAGACAGATCACACTGACAGTCTGCAGAGGGCCTGCAGGGCACCAGTGATCTGCTGATTGGCGGTGCAATGCTTCCCAGGCTCCTAAAACAAAAAACTAGTAAATGTGCATTCTTTTTACCTGCAAAACCTTTAATCCCTTACAAAAATTACATTCACGTTTTGTTCAGTGTGCAAATGCTTCTGACATTCTTGAGACAAATGTTTTATAAATAGATCCCATAATGTCACACAGATCATTTAACCATTGTGTTACACTAAGGAGGGGAACCCTGCGCGGTCTTGAAACACTGATTAAACAACCTTTGTGACATGATAGGGTTGATTTACTAAAGGCCCCTAGGCTGTTCACTTTGCAGGGGAATTGTCCCTTAGGTTGGTGAATGAGGTGAAGCTCTGCCGACTTCCACCATCCAATCATATGTGGGCAAAATTCCTTTTTTTTTCTTTTGCAATGTAAAATTTTGACACATTCACGAAGATAAGAAAAATTAAATTTCACTTGCAAAGTGAACAGCCTATTTGCTTTATGTAAATGAACCCCTATGTGTTCACAATAAAGTGTGGAACACTATACTTTGGAGTGCTTGTGACTTCCCAACTTCATGACTTGGTATTTACACAGTGTGTCCAGTTCTAGTCACTTCACCCAACTGAACAGTCAGTTTGGTTTAACACTGCAGGGGAAGTGAAGCTCAAAATATGAACTTCTGCATCCTCTTACCTAGTGCCTCATTACATTACAGCAGTCTGATCCCTGAAGAGAAGAAACTGAGGAAGGGCTTCCTTGTGCCTGCAGCAAAGAGAAAACATCCAATCAGCCTAGGCAAAGTCACAGGACTCAAGCTTAAAGCCAATTTCTGGGAAACTTAAAAAACTATCCCTTGCAGTGAAGCTGTGCCCATTTGCTCATTTAGGTCTAACGGACATAGAAAAAGTGAATTTGCTTAACTGATCCTCTATACTAGTACCCTGTACTATTGTCTACTCTGTGTGTACCCTGTATTACCATCCCTCCTCTGTAAACATTTCTACAGGTTACCAGTGTAAAGTTACAGAGGGAGTCTAGTACTAGAATTATTGCTCTTGCGCTGAGCAATAATGTGTGGTTTGAACACCGTTTACATATGTGTGTATGGCCTACGTATGCGTTCACCACTATGTGTGAGCAAGGGGGGACAGGGGCACTTTAAGCATATTTTTTATTGTATTTACACTCTCCCTTTAAAAAAAATGTTTAATCACTTGTATTCCTATGACAAGGAATGCATGCATCCCTTGTGATAGAAGTAATTAGTGACAGGTCCTCTTTATGGAGAGATATGGGGTCAATAAGATCCCACATCTCTCCTCTACAAAATAAACCATTAGAATAAAGAAAGCACTGATTTAGTGCTTTAAAAAAAAAAGGCCTTATTTACAAGGCGCCGGATCCAGAAGTGACATTGCTCCGGCCCTCCAAGGACATAGAGATGAGTGGAGGCCATCTTTCCTTCACTTACCTCTATGTCCAGCGCTGAGATTGTTCAGTGGTTTCTCAGGTAAGGCTGAAAACTACCGAGTGACGGCGAGGGACAGCAGCGGTGGCGGGGTTCATTTCGGCACCTGTGAGGGTGCTTATTTTCATATAGACCAACGGCCGATAGGGGTGATTTCCACCAAATCTTTCGGCCACTGAAATTTTGGTGCATCCCTACACTGTATGTTCCCTTATGTCTCAGTCTTGCTCCACCACATCAGTCTCAATGTGGGGAGAATCTGCCAACTAAGCGTACAGAAAGTGAGGGGCTCTGGCACTGTACCTGAGGGGTGGCCAGTGGTATGGGAGAGCTGCCGCTGCTAGCTGGCGGAAAGCGCTGGGACTCCTCATGGCGGGGCGCCATCTTGGCTGGAGGTCCAGAGCAGTCAGTGAGCGGGCCAAAGAAGGAATGCAGCCCGCTTGAGTGAGATGTGAGGACAGACGGCGCTTAGGAAGCATGCCTGGGTAATGGTAGGTGAGGGTGGAGAGCAGTGCTGCTGCTATTCCGAGCCCAGGGGTAGTGGGAGCTGTGAGGTGAGCGTATTCACACCAGCTATTTACATACATTTTAATAGAATACATAGTCTTGTTAAAAAAAAAAGACAAGTTTATCTAGTTCAACAAATAAAATGAAAAAAAAAAAAACAATCCTATACAGTGAAGTCAATAAGTATTTGATCCCCTGCTGATTTTGAATGTTTGCCCACTCACAAAGAAATGATCAGTCTAAAAATCGAATGGTAGGTGTATTGTAACACTGAGAGACAGAATAGCAACAACAAATTCAAAAGAAATGCATGTCTAATAAATTATGCACTGATTTGCATGTTCATGAGGGAATTAAGTATTTGATCCCCTATCATTCAGTAGGATTTCTGGCTACCAGGTGTCTTTCATACAGGTAACAAGCTGAGATTAGAAGCAGTCTCTTAACCACCTCCCGCCCACCATATAAGGTAATGACAGGCGCAAAGCGATTCTCTCATTCTGGGAGGACGTCGAATGACGTCTTCCCATTCTAAGCGCGCAGCGCTGCAATCGGTTGTGCGCTGTGTCCCTCGGACACAGCGGATCACCGATCAACGGAAAGAGCCAAAGATGTCGGCTTGGTTATGTGATCAGCTGTGTCCAATCACAGCTGATCACAAGTAAATAGGGAAATGCCGTTTATCGGCATTTCTCTCCTCACAAGCTGTCACGCTGACAGCTCGAGAGGAGAGCCGGTAATCGGCTTTACTCAGACGGGATATGTACACTGATCATCAGGGCACTGATGATGAGTGTGCCCTGATGATCAGTGTAGCCCCAGCAGTGCCAGCTGTCAGTGCTCATCAATGCCACCTGCCAGTACCACATCATTGCCACATATCAGTGCCTACCAGTGCACATCAATGCCACATATCAGTGCCCATCTTAGCTGCCTTTCAGTGTTACCTATCAGTTGCAGTCAGTGCCACCTATCAATGCCAGTCAGTGTTACCTATCAGTGCTGCCAATCAGTGCCAGTCAGTGCCACCTAACAGTGCCAGTCAGTGCTGCCTATCAGTGCCATATATGAGTGCTGCCTTTCAGTGCCCATCAGTGATGCCTGTCAATGCCCATCAGTGCCACCTACCAGTGCCTCTTCATCAGTGCCCATCAGTGCCACCTATCAGTGTCCATCACTGCAGCCTCATTAGCGCACATCAGTGAAGGAGAAAAATCACTTATTTACAACATTTTATAACAAAAACTAAAAATAAATGTTTTTTTTTTTTCAAAATTTTCAGTGGTTTTGGTTTGTTTAGCAAAAAATAAAAAACCCAGAGGAGATTAAATACCACCAAACGAAAGCTCTGTCTCAAAAAAAATGATAAAAATGTCATATGGGTACAGTGTTGCATGACCGCGCAACTGTCATTCAAAGTGTGACAGCGCTGAAAGCTGAAAAATGGCCTGGGCAGGAAGGGGCTATAAGTGCCCTGTAGGTGAGTGGTTAAAGAGAGCGCTGCTAATCTCATTTTGTTACCTGTATAAAAGACACCTGTCCAGAGGAGCAATCAAACAATTAGATTCCAAACTCCCCACCATGGCAAAAACCAAAGAGCTGTCCAAGGATGTCAGGGAAAAGATTGTAAACCTACACAAGGCTGGACTGGGCTACATAACTATCGCCAAGCAGCTTGGTGAGAATGTGACAACAGTTGGTGCAATCATTTGCAAATGGAAGAAACACAAAACAACTGTCAGTCTCCCTAGGCCTGGTGTACCATGCAAGATCTCACCTCATGGAGTGTCAATGATCAAGAGAACAGTGAGGAATCATCCCCGAACTACACATGAGGATCTTGTCACCAAGTCACCAAGAAATCAATTGGTAACACACTAAGCCGACAAGGATTGAAATCCTGCAGTGCCCGCAAGGTCTCTGCTCAAGAAAGCACATGTCCAGGCCCATCTGAAGTTTGCCACTGAACATCTGAATGATGCAGAGGAGGACTGGTTGAAAGTGTTGTGGTCAGATGAGACCAAAATCGAGTTCTTTGGCATCAACTCAACTCTCTGTGTTTGGAGGAGGAGGAATGCTGCCTATGACCCCAAGAACACCATCCCAACTGTCAAACATGGTGATGGAAACATTCTGCTTTGGGGGTGTTTTTCTGCTAAGGGGACAGGACAACTGCACCGCATCAAAGGGACGATGGACGGGGCAATGTACCGTCAAATCTTGGGTGAGAACCTTCTTCCCTCAGCCAGGGCATTGAAAATGGGTCGTATTTGGGTGTTCCAGCATGACAATGACCCAAAACACACGGCCAAGGCAACAAAGGAGTGGCTCAAGAAGTAGCACATTAAGGTCCTGGAGTGGCCTAGCCAGTCTCCAGACCTTAATTCAATTGAAAATCTGTGGAGGGAGCTGAAAGTTTGAGCTGCGAAACGTCAGCCACCAAACTTTAATGACTTGGAGAGGATTTGCCAAGAGGAGTGGGCCAAAATCCCTCCTGAGATGTGTGCAAACCTGGTGAACAACTGCAGGAAACGTCTGACCTCTGTGATTGCCAACAAGGGATTTGCCACCAAATACTAAGTCATGTTTTGTGAAGGGGATCAAATATTTATTTTCCTCATGAACATGCAAATCAGTGCATAATTTGTTAGACATGCATTTCTTTTGAATCTTTTGTTGCTATTCTGTCTCTCAGTATTACAATACACCTACCATTCGATTTTTAGACAGATCATTTCTTTGTGAGTGGGCAAGCATTCAAAATCAGCAGAGGATCAAATACTTATTTCCTTCACTGGTTACACAATCCTATACCCACAGTTGATTCAGGGGAAGGAAATAAAAACTCAATAAAGCATGATACAATTTGCTCCTGCTGGGAAAAAAGTCCTCCCTGACACCCCAAGAGGCAATCAGATATTCCCTGGATCAACTTTACCTATAACTATTAGCATCCAGTTATATTGTGTACATTTAGGAAAGAATCCAGGCCTTTTTTAAAGCAATGTACTGAGCTGGCCAGAACCAGCTCTAGAGAAAGTCTATTCCACCTTTTTAACACTCTTTCTGCGAAGAATTATTTCCGTATTTGGAGATTAAATCTCTTTTCCTCCAGATGTAAAGAATGCCTCCTTGTGATTACCTTAAAGTGAATAACTACACTGAGTTCACTACATGAACCACTTATGTATTTATACATGTTGATCAAGAGAATAAATTCCTTTAATCTTTCCTCATAGCTGAGCTCCTCCATGCCTCTGATCAGTTTGGTTGCTCTTCTCAGCACTTTCTCCAGTTCCCCGATATCCTTTTTGTAAACTGGTGCCCAAAACTGAACATCAGCTTTATCACACAAGTGTTTCTTTGCTTCAGGCTGTAAAGTTATTCAAAAGTGTAATTTACAAGTAGAAAATAAACAATAAGCATCTGTTTATATGTCCAATGACACGCTGATCACAGGGAAATGCAATTTCCGGTTCTCGGCTGCACTTTCCTCATGCTGTCAGAACATGGGGAAAGTACTTCCGAGAACCGGCAGTTGTCAGAGCGGGATCGGCACCGATCATCAGGGCACTGATGATCAGTGCCCTGATGATCGGTGCCCAGCAGTGCCATCCACCAGTTCCACCCACCTGTGCTCATCAGTGCCACCCACCTGTGCCCATCAGTGCCACCCACCTGTGCCCATCAGTGCCCAGCAGTTGTGCCAGTCAGTTCCCAGAAGTGCCACCTATCAGTGCTGACTATCAGTACCCATCATCAGTGCCGCCTATCTGTGCCACCTCATTAGTGCTGCATATCAGTGCCGCCTATCAGTGCCCTTCAGTACTGCCTATCAGTGCAGCCTCATCAATGCACATCAGTGAAGGAGAAAAAATTACCTGTTTGCAAAATTTTATAATAGAAACAAAGAAAGCTTTTTTTTTCAAATTTTTTGCTCTTTTTTTGTTAATAGCACAAAACGTAAAACACCCAGCGGCAAGTAAATACCACCAAAAGTAAGCTCTATTTGTGAGAAATGGTTACAGTGCTGCATGACCACGCAAGTGTCATTCAAAGTGTGACAGCGCTGGAAGCTGAAAATTGGCCTGGTAAGGAAGGGGGTATAAGTGCCTGGTAGGCAAGTGGTTAAAACAGCAGTGTGATCATTTGAGCCTCTCCCATGTCTTGAGTTTAGATACACTTTACAATTAGAGCCATCTGGACTTGTGTATTATGTTAGGGCAGCTTGTATATTTTGAATGTGTTGCCAACACACCCAAGCGCACTGGAAACTGCACCTGACCCTTTTTGGGAATGTAGCTCACAGTAGTGTAATATGCTGCCATTTGAAATAAATAGACCTGCAAAGCACTAACACATGCGTGGTGTTGAGTCAAATTTCCTTAAAGAAACCGGTCACGCGCCTGGATAATTTACTCTGAAGAATATGCATATTAGGAGGATTCATAAATACAGGCAGCTGAATTTATATGTATGTTTTTGGACCCACTTCCTTCTATTTAAGAGGGGGCCAAGTTATAACTCTAAAGGGAAAGTAGAACACCTAAAGTCTGATTTGCGAAACAGAAAACAATACCTTTTAATTTATAATATAAAGCTGTAAATGATTTACTAAAAAGATGAAACTGTTAAGTAATTCACACATTGTAACTCAATTTGCTCACATTTACAAGCACAAACATGCTACACAGTTAGGTCCATATATATTTGGACACAGGCAACATTTTAGTTTTTTGTCAGGTATTTACCAAAACATATTCAAGCTATAGTTATATAATGGATATGGGTTGAAGGTGCACACTCTCCGGTTTAATTTAAGGGTATGTACATCCAAATTGGAGGAAGGGTTTAGGAATTACAGTTCTTAAGAGTAGTCATCTCCCTTTTTCAAGGGACCAAAAGTAATTGGACAATTGAATCAAAAGCTGCTTCATGGCCAGGTGTGGGCTACTCCATTATTTTTTCATCAATTAAACAGGTTAAAGGTCTGGAGCTGATTCTAAGTTTGGTATTTGCATTTGGAATCTAATGTGTTGAACCTACATCATGTGTTCAAAGGGGCTGTCCATGCAAGTGAAACAGGCCATTGTAAGGCTTAAAAAATGAAACAAATCCATCAGAGAGATAGCAGCAACATTAGGAGTGGCCAAATCCAACAGTTTTGTACATTCTGAGGAAAGAAGAACGCACTGGTGAGCTCAGCAACATAAAAAGGCATGGACGTCCACGAGACACAGCAGTGGTGGATGGTTGCAGGATCCTCTCTATGGTAAAGAAAAACCCATTCGCAACATCCATGTGGAAAGTGAATCTAATGGGAGTGCCTTTATAATTATCAATCAGCTGTTGTACTTGCAAGGCTTTAATGAGAAAAGCTGCAAGGTCTGCGTCCCTTGAGGGTCGGTTCACACTATAGAAACATAGTCCAGATGCGTTTCCGCATGTACGTTTTTGATGCGTTCCAGTGTTTTTGATGCGTTTGTGACGCATTCCAGTTCATTTTTTCTCCTTTTTTTCTTCAATTAAATAGGGACATGTGCATTGCAGTGCGTTTTCGTGTGTTTTTAATGCATTATACCGTGTTCCAGTACAGTTCTGTGCAGAAAAAAATGCAGCCTGCTCTATATTTTCTGCAACCGGAACGCACTGGAACTGCAAGCACTGATGCAAACTATGACATTGACAACCATATAACCTACTTTCTATGCGGTTTGGATGCAGAAAAAAAAAGCAACTGAAATGCATGTAATGTTAACTGGCCTTTAGACATGATTTCCTTTCGGGAGTATCTCACTAAAAATGACATTTTTGCTGCAGGGGATGCTAAAAATCTGACTTGTATCTTAGTGCAGACACTTCTGGGAAAATCAATGAGCCAATAAAACAAGCGGGAAATGACATTTCTGGGGGACGTTCTGTGCACCATCTGTATATAGAATGCCTCCAGGTAGCCATATTGCTTTGCATTTTACAGAAATTTACAGCACTGCAGATTGAAAAGGAAAGGTAAGAAAGTGGAGTTACCCTTTAAATTTGCCATAAAGATATTCGGCATAAGAGGAATAGCACACCAGCAACATGTTTGGAGACGCAAGTCTTCTACAGAACAGGGGACAACACAATGCAGGGAAAAGAGCAGAGCTTCACTTATAAAAAAGCAAACCTTTAGCATGCATGGGTTGGTATGTGTTGGGGTAATGGAATATCCTGACTTGTTCAGCACCAGTTCTGGCAATGTGCTACTGGTAATGTCTACATAGATATTCCCAGGTTCTACTCTAAACTCTAAGGCTACGTTCACACTAGCCTTGTGTGCAGGCGGGCAGAGAGGCGTTTGGGAAGCGTTTTTACCGCTTCCCAAACGCCTCTGCCAATTCTGCACATTACAGCACATGGTGCTGTTCTAACGGGAGCGTTTGCGTCGCGTCGCGGCAAAACGGACGCCTCTGGACGAGTCAGGAGGCTTTGAAGCCTCCTATTCTCGTCTATGGTGCCGCTCCGCAAACGCCCGGCCGGCGTTTGCGGTGCAGTTGCGACGCGGTTGTGGGGCGTTTGCGGAGCGGTAACACCACTCAAACTGCATTATAGGCATTTGTGGGGCGTTATTAACGCTCGGCAAACGCCTAGCAACCGCCGCTAAACCGCGCATGCGGCGTTTGCGGAGCGTTAAAAAACGCTCCGCAAACGCCGGACCAACGCTTGCCAAACGCTATAGGGGCGTTTGGCAAGCGTTGGCAAAACAGCCTAGTGTGAACGAGCCCTAACTTTTGAGAAAAAGACAAGCTAATAGAAGCATTTCCTACCTAAAACTTACAATCAGCAGCAATTAATATTGGCAGGTATAGTTATTATTGGTCCACAATCACATAATGGTCATCTAGATAAATAAAATGTAGAAACTGGTTTACTTTCCTGACTGTATTTAAGATCATCCAGGGTCCACAACTGACTGAGCACGCAGGGGCAAATACCTTCCACTGACTCACAGTAGAAAAGACATTTGCTTGTTTATTTATAGTTTTGGCAGCCAAATTTTAGTCACTCACACTATATATTTACAGTTAGGGTCATATATATTTGGACACAGGCAAAATTTTAGTTTTTGTCAGGTATTTACCAAAACATATTCAAGCTATAGATATATAATGGATATGGGTTGAAAGTGCACACTCTCAGGTCTAATTTGAGGGTATATACATCCAAATTGGAGGAAGGGTTTAGGAATTACAGCTCTTAAGAGTAGTCATCCCCCTTTTTCAAGGGACCAAAAGTAACTGGACAATTGAATCAAAAGCTGTTCATGGCCAGGTGTGGGCTACTCCTTCATTATTTCCCTCATAAATTAAGCAGGTAAAAGGTCTGGAGGTGATTCTAAGTGTGGTATTTGCATTTAGAATCATTTGATGTGAGCCTACATCATGCGTTCAAAGGAACTGTCCATGCAAGTGAAACAGACCATTGCAAGGCTTAAAAAATGAAACAAATCCATCAGAGAGATGGCAGCAACATTAGGAGTGACCACATCAACAATTTTGTACATTCTGAGGAAAGAAGAACGTACTGGTGAGCTCAGCAACATACAAATGCATGGACGTCCATGGAAGACAACAGTGGTGGATGATCGCAGGATCCTCTCTATGGCAAAGAAAAACCCATTCACAACATCCAGACAAGTGAAGGACACTCTCCAGTTGGTGGGCCTATCATTGTCAAACTCTACAATCAAGAGAAGACTTCACAAGAGCAAATACAGAGGGTTCACCACAAAGTGCAAACCATTCATAAGCCTGAAGAATAGAAAAGCCAGATTAGACTTTGCCAAAAAACATCTAAAAAAGCCAGACCAGTTCTGGGAAAGCATTCTTCGGACGGATGAAACTAAGATTATCTGTACCAGAATGATGGGAAGAAAAAAGTGTGGAGAAGGCTTGGAACAGCTCATGATCTAAAGCATACAATGTCATCTGTAAAACATGGTGGAGGCAGTATGATGGCATGGGCATGCATGGCTTCCAGTAGCACTGGGTCATTGGTGTTTATTGATGATGTGACAGAAGACAGAAGCAGCTGGATGAATTATGCAGTGTTTACAGATATACTGTCAGCCCAGATTCACACAAAAGCTGCAAAGTTGATTGGACGGCACTTCACAGTACTGATAGGAGCTTTTGAAGGAAAAGAAGTGGAATATTCTGCAATGGCCAAATCAATCACCTAATCTCAACCTAATTGAGCATGCATTTCACTTGCTGAATGCAAAACTAAAGGCAGAAAGACCCACAAACAAAGAACAACTGAAGACAGCTGCAGTTAAGCCTGGGAAAGCATCAGTCTTTGGTAATGTCCATGGGTTCCACACTTCAGGCAGTCATTGCCAGTAAAGGATTCTCAACAAAATATTAAAAATGAACATTTTATTTATGATTACCGTATTTTTTGCTCCATAAGATGCACCTAGGTTTTAGAGGAGGAAAACAAGAAAAAAAAATATTCTGAACCAATGGACTGCAGACACACAGTAGTACAGGAGATGACCAGAGACTGCAGACATAGTACAGGAGATGAACGGAGACTGCAGACATAGTACAGAGGATGAATGGAGACTGCGGACACAGTACAGGGGATGACCAGAGACCGCGGACACAGTACAGGAGACAACCAGAGACTGCGGACACAGTACAGGAGATGGCCAGAGACTGCGGACACAGTACAGGAGATGGCCAGAGACTGCGGACACAGTACAGGAGACGACCAGAGACTGCGGACAGTACAGGGACGACCAGACTACAGACATAGTACAGGAGACGACCAGAGATTGCGGACACAGTACAGGAGACGACCAGAGATTGCGGACACAGTACAGGAGACGACCAGAGACTGCGGACACAGTACAGGAGATGACCAGAGACTGCGGACACAGTACAGAAGACGACCAGAGACTGCGGACACAGTACAGGAGACGACAAGAGACTGCGGACACAGTACAGGAGAAGACCAGAGACTGCGGACACAGTACAGGAGACGACCAGAGACTGCGGATACAGTACAGGAGATGACCAGAGACTGCGGAAACAGTACAGGAGATGACCAGAGACTGCGGAAACAGTACAGGAGATGACCAGAGACTGCGGACACAGTACAGGAGGAGATGACCAGAGACTGCGGACACAGTACAGGAGATGACCAGAGACTGCGGACACAGTACAGGAGATGACCAGAGACTGCGGACACAGTACAGGAGATGACCAGAGACTGCGGACACAGTACAGGAGATGACCAGAGACTGCGGACACAGTACAGGAGATGACCAGAGACTGCGGACACAGTACAGGAGATGACCAGAGACTGCGGACACAGTACAGGAGACGACCAGAGACTGCGGACACAGTACAGGAGACGACCAGAGACTGCGGACACAGTACAGGAGACGACCAGAGACTGCGGACACAGTACAGGAGACGACCAGAGACTGCGGACACAGTACAGTACCGACCAGAGACTGCGGACACAGTACAGGAGACGACCAGAGACTGCGGACACAGTACAGGAGACGACCAGAGACTGCGGACACTGTACAGGAGACGACCAGAGACTGCGGACACAGTACAGGGGATGACTGCGGACCTTTGGGGAGAGAGGGGGAGCGGGTACCTGAATTTTACAGGTACCCGCTCCCACTTCCGCTTAGTTGGCCTCCCTTTAGTATGTCATAGCCGGGTGCCCACTGCGCATGCTCGAGAAGCGCTGCGCTTTCTGAATGGTCCGGAGTCTTCTGGGACACGACAGGTCCCAGAAGACGCCGGACCATTCACAAAGCGCAGCGCTTCTTGCGCATGCGCAGTGGGCATCCAGTTGTCACAGCCGGGTGCCCACACTGAAGGTGCCAGCGCCGGAAAACTGTACACCGCTGGACCAAGGAACAGGTAAGGTTCTGCTGCAGAGAAGAGTCGAGCAGCCGGCCCGGTATTCTGATACGGTGGCGGCGGGAATACCAGACTGGCCGCTCCATATTCGCTCCATAAGACGCACTGACATTTTTCCACCTTTTTTGGGGGGAAAAAAGTGCATCTTATGGAGCAAAAAATACGGTATATTCATTTGTCCAATTACATATGAGCCCCTGAAAATGGGACAGTGTATAAAAATGGTTGCAGTTCCTAAAATTTGTACATGATATCTATGTTCAACCCCTTGAAATAAAGCTGAAAGTCTGCACTTCAAATTCATTTGGGTTGTTTCTCTTAAATTTATTCTGGTGGCATACAGAGCCAAAAATATGAAAATTGTGCCTGTGTCCAAATATATATGGATCTAACTATAAATATATACATATATTTTTATTGTTTGCTTTTTTTTCCCCCATGAAAGTGGAGTTACCTTTTATGTTGCCATAAAGCCCCATTCATTTTTAGAAGCCCCAGACATTCCTAAAAGCACCTCAGATTTAAATACGGTTTTAGTTTTTGTTTTTTTTAATCTGGACAAGTAGATTGTCATGAGGAACAAAAAGATTTGGACCTCGATTTAGTCCCTTGGACAAGTAGCTTTTTATAACATTTCCACATCCCTGACAAAGTTTCTCATCCTCTCCATATCACAAAATACCCTGATATCATCCCCTCCATATCACAGAGTCCCCTCATATATCATCCCCTCATATCATCCCCTCCATATCACAGAGTCCCCTCATATCATCCCCTCCATATCACAGAGTCCCCTCATATCATCCCCTCCATATCACAGAGTCCCCTCATATCATCCCCTCCATATCACAGAGTCCCCTCATATCATCCCCTCCGTATCACAGAATCCCCTCATATCATCCCCTCCATATCACAGAGTCCCCTCATATCTGTGGTTGAGCTACCAGGGATGCAAAGATCGTACTTGCAACCCAACCCTGGTGTTCCGCCACTATGGGGGGGGGGGGGGGGCAAGCAGTGTAGCCAATAAAAAAGGACAGTTATCTGCTGTCTTTAAACAGCAGAAAAGTGCCCATTAAAACTACACTTGTCCCCGAGCCTCCTCTACCACCACGCCCCCCCCTTGTGCACTTGATTAACGGACCAATCGCCCGCCCGAGCCGAGCTCAGCCACTACTAATCGGCCGGCTGTGGAAATGAAGTTTCAGAGCCCGCTGATTAGTAATGGATTGAGCTCTGTTCGGACTTGGCTGGAGTGGGGGGGAAGAGGGGCAGGTCGCTGGTCATGTGTGCAGTGATGTGGTGACATATTTGAAAGTGATTGCAAGGAAGGGGCTCGGGGGAGGAGGACCAAAGGCTGCAGGCAATTACAGGAGGTCAGTGTGTGACAGCTCTGTGCAGCAGTCAGTCACTCTATGGGGGGATCATTGATGTAAGGGGTGAGTGCAGACCCTAAAGTAAGGGGGGACACTGATATAACGGTCTCCCTTATATTAGTGTCCTCACTGCCCTCTTATGTCAGTGAACCCCTTTACCTTAGTGTAGTCACTCTGCAGACTCTGGGGTAAAGGGGAACTCTGATGTAAGAGGTTCTATGATCATTAGAACCCCCCCCCCCCCCCTTACATCAGAGTTCCCAGCATTACCCCTTACATCAGAGTCAGAAGAGTTCACCCTTACAGTGCAAAGGGAAACTTTGCAGACTCTGAGGTAAGGAGTCCGCAACATTTCTGCTTACATCAGAGTCTGCAGAGTTTCCCTTCACATAAGGGAACACAGAGTTCCTCTTCATATCAGGGTCTGCAGAGATCCCCCCTGCACTGTAAAACAAATCTTGCGGAATCTGATGTACTATTAAGAACTCTGATGTAAGGGGGAATGCTGCAGACTTTGGTAAAAAGGGGAACTCTGAAATGAGGTGGTCTCTGGTCATCAAATCCCCTTACATTACAGTCCACAGCATTCCCCTTTACATCAGAGTTCCCACTTACATCAAGGTCTGCAGCATTGCCCTTTACATCAGAGTCCACAGAGTCCCCCCCCCCCCCCTGCAATGTAATGGGAATCCTGCAGACTCTGATGTAAAGGGGAATAAGGGAATAGTGATGTGGGGGGGACCTCTTCTCAGATGCACTGTGCAGGGCTCAGTCTGACGGTTCTCTATGGCTCTGGTTTCAACCTATATTCTCCTTTCCACAGTCCACACGTGTCACTCTTCTCACGACTCTAGTCCGGGCAGCGCTTTTGCTCGACTCCTCTCCAGGCTCACCCTCAGAGACTGCGAACATGATACTGGAGATGAACAGAGGAGAGGGTCGTGGAGCCAGGTGTAGGAGAAGATGGAGTCAGGCGTACAAAGGAGAGGGAAGGATGCAGCCAGGTGGACAGAAGAGAAGGGCGGATGCAGCCAGGTGGAGGGGGTGGATGGAGAAGGAGGGACAGAGCTGGGAGGAGGGGTCACACATCAGTGAGAAGGTCATCCCCGGGCTGCCTACCCAACACCCTAGCCAGCAGTGAGTATGGCCAGGGCAAGTAGGAAACACATTTGGAGGACGTATCCAAGCCTGAGCCCACAGCTGGTTGTCTCCAGCCCCTTCCTCACCCTACAGGGGCCCACACAAAGCTCTCTTCTCTTCTTTAAAAAGGCACCAAATGGCTGCCATCAGGCGGAGTCAGGGAGCCGGTGAACAGTGCTGCCCATATGGTGAAGTCAGCCAGGCTGGTCCTTTCATCCTTCTTCTCTGTTACAGACAATCGGCACCACAGTGAAGGAATTAGCCTTTCAGCATTACTATACCGCCATTTTGTCCCTCTGAGCCAAAGCTCCTCCATCTTAGAATCAGTATCCATCTTGAGACTTATGTCAGTACTTAAAGATGAATTTGTGTTTTAAGACTGTTTCTTACTTTCGATAAGAGTCTGAGGTTCCTCTTTTCCCTTCAGATGTAACTTCCTTTTTTCCTCTACCTAGCACAAGACTGAAAGTCTGCGGTGGGCTTTTTCCTGTTGCAAGAGTATTAATAACTATAGCCAGCGTAAAATAGGGAAGTTGTCTACTTTCTATACTAATGCTTGATGCACATAATAATAATTAACATAAATGCTAAATGATTGGGCATTACTGACGTATGTAATATTCTGATTGGTTAATACATACCTGTCAATTGATTGGTTCTTATATTTCCATGTATTGTTTTAAGTTTCATATATAAGTTTAAACACGGAAGAATAAATTCAGTTCCTTCTGAGATACCACCTTGTGTCTGTGTGCATTTTCCTGTGTCTCAAAGGGGGCTCCAGGCCTGAGGACAGATACTGATCAAGGCCAGGGGGCTGACGGGGGTCAGTGGCTACAGAGAGGAACGGGAGCCAATTCCTCTCAATTGGGGGCTTGTGTCCGGGATGAGATAATCATCCTTTGGTAAGTAAGATTTTTGTCATTTTTGTCAATTAGTCTGTCTTGCCGGTAAGGCTCTGATTGAAATCTCATGCCCTATGGTAGCACTGGACTCAGCGTCATAAGACGCCAGTGGCCAGGCGCAAAGTGCTGTGGGGAGCACAAGGTGTTTTTGGAAAAAGACTAGAGGCAGTTTTGGGAACTGCAAAGTCTCTTATGAGAAAAGACTGAAAAGAGTTTCTCTGAGAAGAAACCAGGAAAAGTCCGGGGTTGATCAGTTCTGTCCTGCAACTCTTTGCTTTTCTTCCTATCGCATAGAAGTATAAGATAATTTGTTTGTGTGACACAAGTGCCCAGGTGGTAAGTGTATGGGCCAGCGGTTACTGAAGGTATTGTCAACTTCCGTTGTAAGACGCACCACCCCTTTAGCTAGGCCTTATTGGCTGATGACCTAGAGAAGGTGATAGCATGGTGACACGGAGTTGGGTGCCTATGTGAATGTCTTGTTCAAATTGTGTTGTAGGCTTATTGTTAGAAAAGTGGGAGTTAGTCAGAGTCAAGATATTATTAGAAGTATTGTATATCCAGGTTATAATCTCCACTTTTGGTCAACCACTAGAGAAAGACCCAATAAATATCTTAAGTCCAGACATTTTTATTTTTATAAAGTAAATTGTCATTTGGAAGTTGACCCCTGTCTTTTGGGACAGCCTATAGGACAGATTTGTAACACAGACCTTTGTAAGTGTAAAAAATGGGAAGTGGTCAAAGTAAGGATAAACTTCCCCCCCCAAATGTTGGTGAGATATGTAAAGATTATGTAGCCCGTATCTGTGGGACAGATTACTATCTAGTTAACCCCTGGGTGGATAAATTAGCAGACTGGAGTGAATTCATGGAAGTGTTGACCCGTTCCCCCGTGATGGGAGTAATGATACTTTTCATATGGATATGATTAGGGGTCTCTGTCTGGGGGATAAACAGGCTTTCCCATGGTATGAGGGAGACCCTGCGTGGGATCAGAAAATATATGGCCAGGGGAGGACAAAATTGGTTAGAATTTGCCCCTCTCTGGTTTCATAGACAAACTGGGAAACAAAATAAAGCCATAGCTAGAAATGTAGATGCCACTAAAATACATGCATTAGAGTCAGAAATAGACAGACCCACACACACCATCTCATGCCATTCCTTCCCCCATATGTCCCACCTGTCCCACAGCCCACAAAACTTTATCCATCTCTTACTGAAGAAGATATTGATTTTTTAGCCGGACATTGCAGTCCAGCACCCCACTGCACCTCCAGCACCAACACTTCCA